TGCTAGGTGGGAATTTTAATTAGGGTTTGATTTGAAAACTTGCTGACCGCAAAATTACTCTCTGATTGGGAAACCATGCGATTTCGAAAGCTATTGATATACGCGATGAAACATTATTTCTACTAGTTTTTCACAGAAAAATCTTTCTGTCAGTACTCAAAGCCTCCTAAAAGATTCTCTTCAGCAAACAACATCGCTTGCGACCGCTTCAGATGCAATCCCTACTCAACCGTTTGCGAATCAACTATTTCAATCGAAAATGACTGTATGACGAAGTTGGTCACGAATTATGAGAAGTGTATAAATGAATTTGTTGCCAGAAGGGAAATTGAGAAAAGCACTGTTTTCGTTGGTAGAAATTGCAAATACAAAGGCAGACGCAGACGTCCTTAAAAGACCAGATTTTCAAGAGTTTTTTGCAGACGTTTCGTACGAATAACTCTTGATAAAAGCAGCCTTTTGATTTATTCCAGAGTAGAGAGCATGTCTCTCTGATTTATGATTTGGATGAATGTCCCTAGACCTCCACGACTGCTATGCATACAGCAAGAAAGCTGAAAGAAAAAAACGTTTTCGACAAAGACGTTTTCATATCTTTCCAGGACATGTACTGAATTAATTCGTTAGTAAACTAGAGCATCGTGAGTTAGCGAAATCTGATCAAAATTTGTGAATGAAGAGGTTTTTCATTAAATGTGATGACAAGTACTTATTGCATCCTACAAAACTGATTTCTATTCAGAACATGAAGTTAGTTGCTCGGATAATAGTGCGAAAAGCAGTTATTGCGAAATCAAGTACTAGGTATATCACATATACAATGTTCAACTTCTAGAATTATGCTCTCCGCCTTTAGATAGGCATCAGCCTGAACCACATATCGAAAACTTACGTTGATGTAATTGTTCTGAATCGTTCTTGTCCTGCTGTATCCCAAATTTGCAGTTTCACCCGTTGCCCATCAACTTCAACAGTTCGGATTTTGAAGTCTACACCAATTGTCGTTATGTAATTCTCTGCAAAATGAGTGATGAATTCGTATCAAACAGTCGTTCGCCCCAAAGCTTTAAAAATAGAATGTGTACATTAATTGCCGCTTGGAATTCACAATATGAGCAATACTTCATTCATGCAGAATTGGTTGCATTGAATATTCAGACTGGTATAAGATAAGAAGAAAGAAATGCAATCCTTCCGTTATTTCGACCATCTTCCTAGTGCGACCCTAATTTCGTCAGCAAAGAAATTGACG